GGAGAGGGAGACCTCCGTGTTTGAGACGGGAGCGGGAGGCAGGAGGTCCGACGCTTCCAGCGAGAGAAGAGGGAGAAATAAAACAAAATAAGATAAAATAGGAAAAACCTGTCTCCCTCTTTTATTTTATTTTCAGCGTTTAATCAAGGCAGAGGCGGGCGGCCGGAGGTCCGAGACTTCCAGCGAGGAGAGAGGTAGAAACAAACAGCCAATGTGTGTCTGTGTGTGCTATGTTCAGGTGTTGTCACATAAATAACAGTGCCCAAGCAATAAACAGGACAGACAATAGGATTTTATTTATTTTTACACTACATTTTCACTGAAAGTTGACCGAATCCGACCCGAGCCCGATACAATTTATCGCTACATTTTTAACCAAACCAGGCCCGACCCGTTGAGTACCGTCGGGCTCGGATCGCCACACTCTAGTGTGTGTATGTGTCCCCTGTTGGGGCCTATCTGAATTTCTGTCTTTGCGAGATATTATTTTGTAATATAACTGAATTTTCTATCCATACATATAAATTTTAAATATATTAAAATGATAAGGCATCTTTGAGTAAACTGCGAGTATCATTTAAGTAGGCTGTGTCGCGGCCGGCCGAATGTCCTCTTTTTTGGAAATCAAAATATGGTCACCCTAACTTAATAATAATTTAATTAATTTAATTTACATTATTAATCCCCCTGAGGGGAAATTCATTTTTTTTTTCACTCCGTTGTCATTAACACAGTTCCGAAATTCACACACATGCACAAACAGGACCTATACATGCACAAAGTGGAGAGATGTCAGAGTGAGGGGGGCTGCCTTGGTCAGGCGCCCGAGCAGTTGGGGGGTTCAGTGCCTTCCTCAAGGGCACCCCAGCAGTGCCCAGGAGGTGAACTGGCACCTCTTCAGCCACCAGTCCACGCTCCGCATTTGATCCGGACGGGGACTTGAACCGGCGACCGTCCGGTTCCCAGCCCAAGTCCCTATGGACTGAGCTACTAGCCAATAAAGAGTGTTTTTTTTTAAACTTGACATGCCATTCTGAAGGGCAGACTGCAACCCGCCAGTTGGGAACCATTGTTTTAAATACTGTAAAACTTTAATTAAAAGCCTTGTCCCAATTGACCTATGGCTAAGCCCCGCCCTCAAACACAATCACAGTGCGTATAGCCATTTTCATACACTCGGACATTCTATGTTCCCCACTTAACCCTGCAAAAAAGCTTCTATGTTCCCCGCTTACACAAAAAGGTTGGATGAGCGGGAAACATAGAACCTTTTTTGTGTAAGCAGGGAACATAGAACCTATTTTGCAGGGTTAAGTGGGGAACATAGAACCCTGGAAACATAGATACGCACCCGTACATGCAACTCTGACACAAGGTATCCTGAGAGGCTGGGTGTGTATTTTATATTTTTTACCCTTTCCTAAACCACATCTCAACCGAGAAAAGTGTCTCCTTTGGATAAAGTTGTGCGGTAACATTAGACCACAACATCAGCTCAACGTGAATAAGATTAACAATGATGTCTACATCTGTTCTAAGGTAAGTCAACATTGTGTTTGAGCCAACATATTGTAACTTTGCTGGAAAGAAATATAAAGTTATCTTTAACATCTCTAGCTAACGTTAGCTAAAGTTAGCCTAACGTTAGCTCCTAGCTGCGTTGTTCATCATTTCACCTTGTTTGCTGGGAGTTCATTAGCCTATTTTGTTCTAGTTTTGTACTTTGGTGATCGTACATTGTTAGCTGTTGTCCAAAGGGCTCTAGTTAAGCTAACGTTAACTTCTGGAGCTTAGCTTCATTAATTTAGCTGTAATCGCAGAGATAACAAAGGTTGGCAAACGTTATGCTGAATGATTTAGTGTAAATACTGTAGCACCAAACTAACGGAGAGACACTCTTGGTAAAGATGGTAAAAAGGCCGTTATCCTTTTCTCATATTCTGAGCCAAAAACCTTAACTTAAGTGGCACTTGAACTTGTTGTCTTTGATGGCGACGGCAACGAGATGCAGTTCACAAACGTACACTGTGACCTGTAAATTTTGGTTTGTAATTTAAGCTTTTCATCGACCTTCTCAACAATAAAATGATGAATATATCCCTCCAATGCATAGTTTAGGCCCTTCTGGTTACTTCTCAATGACATCTGATCGTTATGTCTCCAAAAATCATCAATTGCCTCTTGCAACATGCCGTGTGCTGTGACACCTGCCATAGCGCCAGTCACTGAATGTTGATAGTTTGAGTGAGTGGAGGGGGGCGTGGCTTAGCCATAGGTCAATTAAATACCCATTCCTTTTCTAGCCTGGTGTCTACACATTTTGACAAAAGCCTGTCTTAATTAGACGCCTAGTCTCGTTGCCAAGCAGTAATGTTTATAAGTTCTTTGAAAGTATAAAACTGGATTGTTGACTACTCACTTGAGCTATAGTTAGCTGTTTAACGCCTGCTGAGCTTGAACTAACTTAAATTTTATGGTAATAGCCAAAACAATATATATTCAAAACTTTTCCAAGACATTCTCTCAATTCCCAAGCATTTTCAGGCCTGGTAAACATTTTTTTAATATCTTAATGGCCTTGGGAACCTTAGAAATATTGCCAATAGTTGCCAAGACATAATACACAGTTCAATTTATTTTATTATTTATGTATATGTATGAAATAATTGCACAGGACCAAGGATGAATGACCATACCATTACTTTTATTGTAGATATACTGGGCTACAATTATATATAAAAAAAAAGAAAAATTAAAAGAAAAAAAAAATCCAAACAAAAAAAAAAAATAAAGGTATTTGTGATCCATAAGGTGCAGACCGCAAACCACTGCAGCACGGTATACAGTATGAGTGAGGAGTTCAATTTCTATTCCAATGTCCCTTAAACATTTGCTGCAGGTTGTGATGGCCCATAATTCCCCATACTGATAAACAGTTCATCACTCCATCTGTTCAATTCCACTCTGCTGGTGTTCTGCTGCTCAGTGACCATGCCCACCCCTTGCCTCACCCCCTACTCCCCCCCCCCTGCAAACAGTCACTGTTGGTGCTTTAAGCTGGTTTTATGAGACCAATATCTTCCCTCCCCACCCCACTTTAATTGTTTATCAAAGGCATTTCAGTTCTCTGTTAGCACTGATCACACTTGAACACAAACTTGAAGGAAAAATCCACCCTAAAACACCCCTACTGTTGGAAAACAGACAGGCATAGGCTTCATTTTCTGGTTTGGTGATTTTTTTGGTGGTTTGGTGGTTTTTCAGTTCCTGTGAATGCCAGGCCAAATGACATCACATGACATCACATCCAGATACAGTTCCTAAAATAAGTAAAAGCAATCTAAGGACTTTTGAATCACAGTGGATGTATTTCAGATTAGGTTTGACAGTTGCTAACTTAAAACGTCAAACAACACCAAGTCAAACTGATTTAAATTAGGATCAAATATATGTAATCGGATAACGGACTGCATGTAAACCTAATGTTTCCACTGGTTGTGGATGTTGCTAGCTTGGATCCAGGACTGTCGTACTTAGTGTCACAATTTTACATCACTGTCTCCCTGAACACAGACATCAACTCATAAAATTTGTTAGAGGAATGTTGAAAATGACGTGTTGGGATTGTGTAAGACCATGACAGGTCTCTTCTTATGGTTGAAACAAACATGAAGATATATTACAGTGTTGAATTGCCAAATAAAGCAGTAGTCTTCTTTATTTAACTTCTGGCCACCGGTAGCAGCACTAAGCCAAAAAATGATCCTGCATGTCTTTGATTTCATACGTTTTGTAGCAACTTCTGTAAACCAGGCCCCCTGGAAGTGAGCTGGGCTTTGATGCCAACTTTTTTAGTGGCTAAATAGTGTAAAATCACAGTCACATGATACCCTACAGCCCAGAAAGATTTTTCCCCATTGATTTACATGGCGGAAGAGACGTCTGGGAATTGGGGATAAATTTTAAAATGTTTTGAACTTTACAACCCCCTCAATATGACTTTTCTCACAACTGGGATCTGATCCATTCGGCACAATAACATTTTGAAAGTCTACAAGAGCCAGGTGATTAAATCTTTTTATCCGCATTTAAGTTAAAAGAGCGCTAAACCAAAGGTAGCCAGCTCGGCCTGCGGAAGTCTCTAGTAAGCCTGCTCTATGGGCACTAGCTCTCATCTGAGTGATTTCATGCATGGCAGATGAACCTTTTTGGCTATGTGCACAACTGAGCAAATTTTGTAGGAATGACCGAGATCCTGCCTCCAACACTGTATCCAGTTCTCTTTATGCATCCATGCTATAAACAGATTCTGCATATGAATGTAGATTCTGTGGGCAATGGGACAAGATACTGTGGGCAACAAGATTCTGTAGGCTATGAGATTTTGTAGGCAACGAGAATCTGTAAGCAACAAGATTCTGTAGGCTATGAGATTTTGTGGGCAACAAGATTCTGTGGGCAAAGAGAGAAGACTTTGGTGTCTGAAACATTATGGGTTCCTTTTGTCATCTGAGTAGTATTAAACAATCATATTTGTGCGGCAGGTAAAGAGTCCATGTGGTTAGTAAAAGAAGTTGAATGCCTTGGCCTAAATGCAATCTTGGAAGCCTTTGGCTATGATCTGATGATGATTTAGTTTTATATCAGTGTTTTTCTTTATTTTTTAATTTATCAGATATCTGCATTTATATGCAGACAGTCCCAGTTCACAGGAATTCACAAACTGGTGTATAAATTGACTTGGCCTGTTAAAGACGAGTATGAACACTGATACAGCACGTGATGTGACATCATTATGGCCTGTGATTTATCACAAAGTACAGACGCAAGTTTGAGTGGATTTTTCCTTTAAGTTCCTAATAAAGGGCTGGGGGAGGTTTTTCTTGTGTTCCAAACTAACACACCACAGGAGGAAAAAAGAGGCTGGGAGAATCACTTGAATGACATGTCCATATCAAAGTAGTCAGAGAAGAATTAAACCAAGAGTGTCAGTTCATCATTCAAGTCACGATTGGACTTGCTAGTTTGACAATTCATTTCCAAACAGCTGTGTAAGGCAGGACGTCGGTGTCCAGACATTTTAGCCCCAAATTGCAGAGACTTTTTTACAGTGTATTTGTCAGATGATAACCTGCAGGCACATTTTGTCTCCCCTCCCATAGCCCTTTACTCTCTCTTTAAATAGGTTTGTGTAATACCAGCAATTGAAACAGCAGCAAAGCCTGAACCACAAGTTAGTCCTCTTAACATTACGGCATCATATATACACTTCTTTTTTTTCTCCTCCATCTTTCACTCCCTTTCACACTCTGACATGAGGTAAAGTATGGCGCCCAAGTGCAATGCTCAATTGTGCTACATGTACAAAACGAAAAGAAAAAAAAGAAAACATAATTGCCAGTACGAGAAAACATAGTCCGCTCTGAATAACGTAGGACTACCTCAACTTCAGCACTCCCACACACACACCTCCCTCCTCAATTAAAAAAAAAAAACCAACATACGAGGCTGTTGGATATTGATGACAAGATTAATGGTGATCCTTATTTTCATCAGTCACAGACAAAAACAGAGTGGGTGTGGCACCGTATGAGTGATTTCACATTCTTTTTTTTGTAATCCCGCCCCCCGCCGTCCCTCCTAGAGACTTACACATAATTAGTGTGTTGAATCGGTGGAAAAGTCTAATGGCTGCGTGTGTGTGTGTGTGTGTGTGTGTGTGTGTGTGTGTGTTGGAGGGTGTATGACTGGTTGTACAGATACACTCCAAGTCTGGCAACGTCTCACTAATGGGGGAAAACTAAATGCACATCCCACATTTAAGGGTTTCCTGTGTGTCTGTAGACTTGAGAAATAATGACAAATTGCACTCTTTTTAACTGATTGTAGAAGATGTACTTAAGTTTCATGGGGTAACTGACTTCACATTGATTTTTAACATGAAGAATTTCAAAGATTCACACTTCAGTGTTCCCATGGTTATCTGTCGGACCCAAAGTATCAAAAGTATGGCACCCAAAGAGAGATCTGAGAGACATTTAGCTGCAGGCAAATGACAAAAATCCCAAAAAAGACTGGATTTACACTGATGCTTTTCTTTTACATGGACCAACTTAACAAATTTGAAATTAACATCATGAACTTGAATGCTAGAGCTGTAATTTCACATACAGTTTGTCAACTCTGAGACACACTGAGGGACACAGAGAACTGTAGGGCTGGGTATTGAAACAATGCAGTACCAAGTTGTATTGAAACTTCTGCAGTAGGGCTGGGTGTTTTTTAAAAAAAATTAGGGTATCAGTACCAATAACAATACTCTTAAAGTGATATTGACACTTGAATTGCCCATTTGTTTGGAGGACAGCAGCTCTGGTGATGGCAGCAACAGAAAGTTTGCTAATCCAAAGGGAAGTCAGGACAGCCCGGGATCAGACCCCCGGCACAAAAAGGAAAGAATGCAGGTATCATTTGACTGGAGATGTTTTGATACTCCTTGGTACTGAGTTATTTCAGTTGATACCTTAAAGGTATGGAGTACCGACACCTAGTTAAACAATACCTGCATTGAATCCTTTGGTTTTTTTTTACCCAGATCTGGAAAGAAAAATGAGTGTTTGTATGGTTTCGCTTGCAGCCAGTCACCACAAGCATTCTTTGATTTAATGCAACGTGTGATTGGCCCACTACCTCAGAAGCTACAGCTCATGTAGCGAAGTCTATCACAATGTATTTGACAGACTTAGCAGTTGAGCATGCTGAAATGCCACCAAAACGTTCCAAAGTATAGCTATGCTACATGCCTGTGGTGTCTGGCGGTATTTTATGCAACTGCATGCTTCCATTCATATGATTAGTATTGAATGAAGTAGAGAAAAGTATCAAATGAAGCACCCAATTGGTACCTGTATAACACAGAGGATACTGGTATTGGTACTAGTATTGTAATTTTTTAACAACATCAAGCCCTAGAGAAGACAAATTAAGGCTGAGGCTCATTTATGCTAAATGTTACATACGGAGATGGGCAGAGTTTTCTGTCCATCCTCTGCTGTCATTTTGTCTGTATTTGTACACGTATTCTGATAGCTTGCAGTTACGGGCAAAACGCAGCTGTACCACTTAGGGATGCACAATATTGGATTTTTTTTTTGCCAATATCTGTTACGCCAATACATAAGAACTTATTTGGTCAATAACCGATACCCATATATCCACTTTTTTCCCCACCTAATTTTAGTGTACATCAGGTCTCTTCTGTAGAGGAATTAACATCATATTATGCATGTATACTCTTTTCGTGACAACCCACCCACAGATGACATGAAATAAAAATACTTTACAATGTATGTAATATTCATTCATTGTGCATTCTGATAGTTCATTGTAAAATCAGTATCGCCCAATGACGTGCTGATATTATCGTGCATCCCTTGTACTACTGGAGATCATGGAGGCAGTGTAGCTTATTTCAAGCCAGATACGTCCGTAGGAGACAACTGAAACATTTACATAAAGACGGAACAGAATGAATCAGTAATATATAATAATAAACAGTAACACATGGTGAAAATAGTTAAAAGAATTCTCTGTCCACATGTTGGGATTTATTTAATGAGTGCACTGACCACCCCCATCTACAACACTGCCTCTGTTAAACGGTACAATAATACGACCTCCTCCACTGTCACCTCGTAGTTGTTGTGTGAAACTTTCTCCCTCTAGTGCCATCTATTGGCTGTATCCATGCCATCACAAAGGACACATGGAAGTATGAGGGCAGTGACGTTCACAATGTTTGAAACGGATGTATCCATTTTCGTACATAAAGGGAGAATAAATAAGCCTAGAATCAAAAAGTGACAGTCTGCCACGTCTACCCATACTTATTAGCTAACATTTCATTCTTGACTGCAGCCTGAGTACCTGACCCAAAGTGGGTCTTGGGTTTAACTTTCCTGTCTATATTGGTGTTAGCTTGCTACAGGTCTCTAGCCTGTGCTGAATGTTATTGTGGAACTAACAGCACCTGAAAACAGTCTTCTGTCAGCTTGACTTTGTCTCCACCATGCACAGTTATTTCACTCTAGGCCTTTCAAATGATATCTTCATGTTTATGCTTTTAATTAACATATTAACACTGTTCACCCTGCAGAAATGCTGAGATCATCTGGCAAATGGAAGTTGTTAAATCACATGTTTGGGGGATGGATAAGCTGCCTATTTTAGACAAACTGGAAGCACCATCAAGACCGGATTAAGCCTCTGTGGGGGCAAAAAGTATAACTACGGGCCCCCTACTGCCCTCCGTTTCTTTCACTCTGTGCATCATGTACTCACCAGTAAGTGTTTGTGGTAACTTCTTTAAACACAATTATTTAGGGAAATGCACCCTTTAAGCACAATATAAACTGAAATGTTTCAGGCCGTTAAAGTTGACAATGGTCACCTATACAACATGGGGCCCTAAACAATAATAATGCAGGTGTCCCCTCAAGGTCCCTTGATCTCGAGTTAATTTTTTGCTTTACTGGTGCCACATAGTGAACCAGGAAGCAAATTTGCATGAATGAGCCGCCCTACGCTCCATGCAACTGGCTAGTACTTGTTGCCTTCATTGGTTAGACTGGTTCGGTTTACGCAAGACAAGAGGGATTGGTTGGGGTAAGAACGTCAGGGTAAGCCAATAGGAGGAAGAGTAAGGCAGGCTATTCCTTTGCTATCCTAGGGTTTGCTAATCCGTAACCAGGACCCTTTGGTCCCTCAAAGGGTCCTGGGCCATTAAGCAAGTTTGTGCTTGTTTTGCCTGGTTGATTATCCAACCTTCGACAAAGCACGAGAATCTTTAACTGCAACTACTTTGTAGGAATTTGGGCTCAGCTGCTGTTGGGTCAGTTGACTTTTTTTTATTGTCATAGGTCCCAAAGTGTAGTTTAACAAACAGTATGAGGCAGGGAATATCTCTACTCTCTTAACTCAAATTTGGATTAACTGATTGAAATCTAGTCTGTGCTGACACTGATCTCCCACAGAGAAGGCACTGAGTTTTGTTTCTATTCAAGACATGAGACACAAATTACTGTGAGGGAATGTCGACTCAGTGACAGATATGTGACGTAGCCGGTAAAGTTATCACAGTAAAAGGACTACAGCATGTCACTGTCAGAGAGTTACTGAGCTGAATTGCAGTTTTGTCCACAAATGAACGGCGAGTGCACTGTCTTTTGAGGTAGAAGCACCTGCGGGTAGGATTATATGACTGTGAATTTGATTTCAGATAGCTATATTAACACAGTTTACAAACCACACAGGTACGTGTCTCTTCCAAGCATTATTTATGAAGATAATTTTGTAGAAATCAGTCAAGTATACTCCCCTCTGCCTATATTTTGGCGTTAATGTCAGAGAAAAGTTTAAGAGTGCAATCTGATTACCTCTACAAGCCTCTACCCATCTGATCAATCAATCCTCTGTTTGTTTTTACCCACAATTCAAAAACAGATTCTCAACTGATGAAATTAATAGCTAGTGAATGAGGAAAAAAGAAGTTAGGCTTATGTGCAGAGATTACATTTCCTGCCCCCCCACACAGTGTCAACCTCGAGTATGGGAGGGGGAAGAGACGACGACGCAGCTCCTCCTCTGCAGCGTGATGGCTGACGAACGGGACAACCGAATCAAACAGATTTCCAATCATTCAAAAAAGGTCAAATAAAGAGGTATTATAGTTACAGTGCAAAAAAGATGAGAAATTCAAGCTTAATACAAAAACATAGCACCAAACAAAAAAGAAAAAAATATAAAGACAAGAAAATGCATGCAATTAACTGAGGTATTCAAGTGAAAAAAAAGGGCTTATTGATGAGAAAAAAAAGGACATTTAGCGAGAAGCAAAATTTATCGGAACCACGAAAAAAAAAGGCTGGTATCCTTATCCCTAGGAATTGACTTCAACCTCATAGTGTCACATCTGTTATAGCTTTGGTAGGTACGGGATGTGAGGAACACTAGTGTGTTGAAATGAATTGGCCTTTTTCACAAAGACTGTATTTGAAAAGATTCTGTGTCTTACACGAGTATCCAATGTAGAAAAGTCTGCAGCATATTGAACTTGTGATATGTCTTTCTCTTCTTATATCAAAACTGGATGATTCGCTCCGTGGAAAGACATTTAGTGCGCAAGAATGACTAATTCAATTCCATCCATTCTTGGTATCAAAACATGTTAAACCAAATCGTCAAGATAATGCCATTAACATCAAATCTCGCTCTCACACACTCTAGATATATCCATAGATTTAGAACATTTATAGAAGCAATCCAGTTGTCGTGGTTTATACATAAGCTACAAGAACATGCAACCTCAAGTGCGGTTAAAAACTAGTTTAAATTACAGTAACTGGGAATGTTGAAATTCCTATCCGTTTTGCAGGATATGAGGGTGAGCCTTAGCATCCAAGGCCAAGAATATCATTCATGTATCTTATTCTTTTTTATATATATTTATATACTTTGCTACGTATATGATTTTGGTGTCAATGTGACCACACAACTCTCAAAGTAACAGACCCTAATGGAATAAGTGCAAAAATGATTAAGAATACCATTTCAAGACAGATTTCAGACAGAAGTGCCACCAGGTTTTTGCTCCAGTGGTATCTGTTAGCCATGTCTGCCATTAGCGTTTTCAAAACCGCTTTGAAACTGACTGGCACTAGTGCACAGGCTGAGGAGTTTAGCGTTTTTTGTTGTTTTTTTTCCTACATACTTTGATTTACACCTTTGATTGAACTATATACAATCTAATACTACACAATAAGCATAAGCCTCGTCTCATCGACATAGAGGTTAACAAAAAACAAAAACGATGAGGAATAGACATTGCGACCTGACCTTTTTTTTTTTTTTTTTTTAAACACTTTGCTAAACGTTAATAAAGCACTCATGTGATTACACAAAGCAGAGGGGGAAAGCAAAGATTGTGTTTGCGCAAATAAAGAAAAAAAAAAAAAGGTAAAAGATCCGATGTGAAATCTGTTGAGAGATAAGTCTGCTTCTTTTGTTGCGTCTCCACACAGTGTTCCCTGGCTGCCTTGGTTGTGCTGTCACAGGCTGAAGATGCAGGGCTAGCGTCGCGCTGTGTTGGAAAGCCGATGTTGCTTTTTCTCTGTTAGCGTCAATAGCTTAGATGCTAATGCTGAGAGCTCGGAGGAGGAGCTCAGTTGTTTTGGACCTGAGGTTGATTGGCTTTGAGGCTGCGCAGAGCTCGTCGCGCTGCGGCCGACTTGGCGATCCGGTAGCTGCGGCCGACTCCTTTGAACTTGCCCTTACCGACGACCTCCACTGTCACCCGGACCTTCCCATCATACGTTCTCTCTGCAGGGCTGCACACAGAGGAAAAGGAGCAAAAGGGTTTCAAACGCTGTATATCATACAGTCTCTGTGAGGAAAGTGATGTAAGAGACAGACCTTTGTTCTAAATTTCCTCCGTTCACTGTATCATGCAGAGTCTTCAAACACATACCTGTTGTCTTGATAAATTCAGTATGATGTATATTTCCACAACACTAATTCCATCAGAAGTTGTGCTTTGTAGTCTGTTCTAATAATTGACATCATTGCAGTCTGTTTCCTTTCTGTTATCTCAAACTGTTCTTGTAATTATTTACAGCACAAAATATCTTTCTAATGAAAAAAAAAAGTAGTTATTTCCAGTTACTTTCACTTTGCTTTACTTTTTGAACTGCTGTTAAGTTAATATAAATAATTCAACACTGAGATTTCACATTAAAAATCTTACAGGGGTTCATATAATGTATACACTGTCTGACATTAACTTTTTGACTCATCTGCTAACAGGACTGGTAGATGAAAAAAATCCACTGGCCAAGAATATTTTTACCTGCCAAAATAATAAATTGCCTTTATGTGTCACAGATATATTTGTTTAAGTGCATTTCATTAAGGTGTTATGTTGAAAACAAACTTTAAGTAGCAGTATTATTTTTGTATACCAGTGGTTCCCAACCTTTTTCCTTTTCCTTAAGTTTGTGTAAATTGAGCGATTTGGGTGAATTTTGAGCAGATTAATTCCTGTCAATATTCCATCAGAGATAAGTTTTCCCAATATTGTAGTAACTTTTGATACAGGTTTGTATGTCTGTATGTAAATGAGTAACCACCGGAGTACGTCGAGCCCAAATACCACTTGCTGGCCAAGCACACAGCTGATGCAGAGAGCCCTCCTCCCCCTCGCCAAAGGCAGACTACACTGGATAGTTTGCATTTACATTTAATAAACATAGATTTAATCAGCACAGGACTTTCTGTCTAAGTGAGGAAGGAGAAAATCGACATCGGCCTATTCCATATTTCCATATGAGAAATGTGACAGCAGAAGCAGCCACTTAATATAGACAAGTGTAAGCGCTGATCTCTTACCTGAACTTGGCAGTTTCTGGTTCCATCTCAAGCAGCTCCCTCACGGGAGAGCGTGGCACATTGGCAGAGAATTTCTCTGGAAGTGGTGAGGGGGTGGAGAGGTGAGGTACAAAAAAAACATCCATAGACTTACAGTGTTTGCTAACCTGCATGAACTGTTCAACAATCATGACTAAAAAGAACATCAGTAAATAAATGTACTTTCACTCTTCCTCACCTATAAGTGGCCTCATCATTGGATAATACACTTGCCACACCGTCTCCAATGACATCCTGCTGTCCATGTAGATTGCTCCGGCTAGTGACTCAAAGATATCCCCCATGGCCTTAGGGACCTCGATGTCCTCCTCCTTCTCCTCATCTTCTTCAGAGCGTCGCAGCTGATTACAAAAACACACCAAGCTGTTAGCTGATGCAATAATAACACACACACACACACACACACACACACACACACACACACAATTTAAACAGGGGTAAACCAGCTGCCTTACTGTCTTTTCTTCTTTTTTTTTTTTTACTGGTGTCCCACATTTGACATGACAAATGCTGGAAAACAGGTTAGTAAACAGTAGAAAGCAGCCTGGAGGCCTGTGAAAAATGTAGCAGTGGTTACTTCTTTTTACATCAGTTACTTATTCAGTAGGGGTGGGGGAAAAAATAATTCTTAGATGCATCGTGATGCGGACGTGGACAATTCTGCATTGATTCCCTATGTCAATAATCGCTAATGTAAATCTTTGTTCATAACATGATGTTGACGTGACATGATGTTGAAAGTCAGTGTAGCACCCCGACAGTCTACAGCGCAGATGAGCTTAAGTAAACTTGCACTAATTCATCTTCACAAAAAACAGCAGTTGCAAGCTTGTTTTAATTTAATGTGTAAATAATTACATTTGTGTAGCGAACGTGAAGTATATTGTGAGTACTTCTTTACGGCATCACTTAGAGAATAACATTGATAGGAGCAGCGATCAGCATGTAAACTGCCTGACCGACACGCTGCAGCATTAACCAAATTAAAATATTTCTGCGGTGAAGAAAATAACTCTCTGCTCAGTTTTACTTTAAAAACCCTGTGCCTGGTTGTTTCCTTTACATGCAATAAAGTTATTAGAAATGCTACAAGACAATAGAGTAGGCAGAGGACTATGATTTTTTTTTCACAGACTATCTGTCTCATTTAGTGCTTGGTAATTATAATGACAGCTTCAGCAAATATGATAAAAGTATTTTTTATAAAACTTACCAACTGTAGCTTAAAATTACTCCGTAAACCTTTTATAAAAGAATCAAATATGAGCCTATCAACATTCTCCACCCACATCATCCACTGACAGTCTGACTGTTAAAGTGGCGATCTCTATGATTTCCATCCTGGTTGATTTGTCGACACCTGTAGTTATTGGTGGGAACAGCAGATGTAGTTTAATACAACAGGTCACACAATTCTGGGAGCTGCTAAACAAACTATTGTCAGTTTAATAAAGACGTCAGGCCTTTTGCTGCACACAGCATGAGTCTGCAGACAGTAGGGCACAGTGAAAGGAGTTGTTGGAGGTGTGCAGCTTATTGCCTGCAGTTCTTCATCTAACTGCTCATTGTGGCTGCTCCTGACTTTTCCCTCACTCCCTGTGATATTTAAAACAAATCTGCTGTCAACAAATGCCGAAAATGGCCCTTGTCTTGTGTAGTCCATGCATTTTAATGAATGACAGTGGTAAGTGTGAAGCTCATTGCAAAACACACTGCATTTCTTGTGACCCCTTCATAACAAAAGTCAACTTATGTTTTGCCAGTGAAATGTTTTATTAGTGTGAAGCTGCAGCAGTAGGAAGTGTTGGGTTTGCATTAGCATTAACTTGATACGGCATTTTTTCCACAGACATCAGCTGAGACCCAGGGCCATACTGTTACCTCATTAAGCGATAGTAACTTAACAGACATTTATTTAAATGAAAATCTTTGAGGAAAGCATGCTGCATTTGCAGCTTCATCATGTTGTTGTTACGCATATTACTGCAGCATGTTTCTGTTTTTGTTTCAGCTGTATGTTTGTGTATGTGCCTGCTGTCCCTCAGGCAAAGAGTACCTCTCCAGCAGAATGAGAGGAGATCTAGTGCCAAGATAGCCATTTCCAGGCAAATTAAATCCAACTGCATTTTCTCTTCACTGCTGAACTCATTGGAATATGAAACAGATTCATAAAAGCTGACAGCCTTGTTACTCGGGCAGATCTTTGTGAATACGGACTATTATTTTCGGGGGGGAAAAAATGACAACAGCAGAGACTAGGTTTCTTGCTACAGGGCTTTGTTGTTCAGTACTAATGCTAGCTGTGTTTCTGGCAGAAACAGAACTCACCTCAGAGTCCATGCCTTGCATCTCGTTCTTCTCCAGCTGAAACTGCACAAAGTCATCGATGACGTGGAAAAGCTCAGGTGAGATGGCCTTGAAGTACTTGTGGTAGTCGTACTTGACGGCCAGAGAGGCAAAGATGGTGTTGTTGACGAGTGCTGAGCGCAGGTCGGTCAGCACGCCAGGAGAGTGCTGCCGCGGGTCTTCATAAAGGTGCTTTGTTATGAGGTAGTCTAGAATTGCATCACCAAGGAACTCCAGCCGCTGGTAACAATCTGAAGAGGAAAGAAAACTAGAATTACCACTTTGTGGTTGTATGCCTCCTCAAACCAATCAAGTTAAAGTTAGTTTACATCCATGTCTGTGAAAACATGGATGCTTCACACACATCTTCCTCGCGGCAGCACAGACAATCTATACAATGAGCACATTTCCAAGGCGGACACCCAAGATTAGTGTCACCAATTCAGTATCTGACCAAATATCTCCCCTTCTGTTCCTGAGATATAAAATTGAGTAATCGCAGGAAAAGTGGTTTTTCACAGAACATAAAATGCCTCTGGCCATGGCTATCACTAGCGTGGAGGCATAAAAACACACAGTCAGATTTGTGGGTAGATGAGTACATTTGAGCACTAACTACCAATGGATAAAATATATGAAAGGTGTCACTTGTAATGGCACCAAAACTGCAGTTTCCCTCAGCTCTACTGAGCATGTTATTCTTCCATGATATTTTACTCTCATCAGCCTGGTTTCAGTGACAAAGCTCTGACAAAGCAACCGCACGCTATCTGCTCAGTTAAAGACTAGCTGGTAAATACAGAGGAGCATTTATTAGCTAGAGACAGGTACATTTTCAGCACAGAGTTCATACACATGTCCCATTTAAAATTCCATTCTTTTCTACACATACAGTACAGGCCAAAAGTTTGGACACACCTTCTCATTCAATGCGTTTTCTTTATTTTCATGACTATTTACATTGTAGATTCTCACTGAAGGCATCAAAACTATGAATGAACACATGTGGAGTTATGTACTTAACAAAAAAAGGTGAAATAACTGAAAACATGTTTTATATTCTAGTTTCTTCAAAATAGCCACCCTTTGCTCTGATTACTGCTTTGCACACTCTTGGCATTCTCTCCATGAGCTTCAAGAGGTAGTCACCTGAAATGGTTTTCCAACAGTCTTGAAGGAGTTCCCAGAGGTGTTTAGCACTTGTTGTCCCCTTTGCCTTCACTCTGCGGTCCAGCTCACCCCAAACCATCTCGATTGGGTTCAGGTCCGGTGACTGTGGAGGCCAGGTCATCTGCCGCAGCACTCCATCACTCTCCTTCTTGGTCAAATAGCCCTTACACAGCCTGGAGGTGTGTTTGGGGTCATTGTCCTGTTGAAAAATAAATGATTGTCCAACTAAACGCAAACCGGATGGGATGGCATGTCGCTGCAGGATGCTGTGGTAGCCATGCTGGTTCAGTGTGCCTTCAATTTTGAATAAATCCCCAACAGTGTCACCAGCAAAACACCCCCACACCATCACACCTCCTCCTCCATGCTTCACAGTGGGAACCAGGCATGTGGAATCCATCCGTTCACCTTTTCTGCGTCTCACAAAGACACGGCGGTTGGAACCAAAGATCTCAAATTTGGACTCATCAGACCAAAGCACAGATTTCCACTGGTCTAATGTCCATTCCTTGTGTTTCTTGGCCCAAACAAATCTCTTCTGCTTGTTGCCTCTCCTTAGCAGTGGTTTCCTAGCAGCTATTTGACCATGAAGGCCTGATTCGCGCAGTCTCCTCTTAACAGTTGTTCTAGAGATGGGTCTGCTGCTAGAACTCTGTGTGGCATTCATCTGGTCTCTGATCTGAGCTGCTGTTAACTTGCGATTTCTGAGGCTGGTGACTCGGATGAACTTATCCTCAGAAGCAGAGGTGACTCTTGGTCTTCCTTTCCTGGGTCGGTCCTCATGTGTGCCAGTTTCGTTGTAGCGCTTGATGGTTTTTGCGACTCCACTTGGGGACACATTTAAAGTTTTTGCAATTTTCCGGACTGACTGACCTTCATTTCTTAAAGTAATGATAGCCACTCGTTTTTCTTTAGTTAGCTGATTGGTTCTTGCCATAATATGAATTTTAACAGTTGTCCAATAGGGCTGTCGGCTGTGTATTAACCTGACTTCTGCACAACACAACTGATGGTCCCAACCCCATTGATAAAGCAAGAAATTCCACTAATTAACCCTGATAAGGCACACCTGTGAAGTGGAAACCATTTCAGGTGACTACCTCTTGAAGCTCATGGAGAGAATGCCAAGAGTGTGCAAAGCAGTAATCAGAGCAAAGGGTGGCTATTTTGAAGAAACTAGAATATAAAACATGTTTTCAGTTATTTCACCTTTTTTTGTTAAGTACATAACTCCACATGTGTTCATTCATAGTTTTGATGCCTTCAGTGAGAATCTACAATGTAAATAGTCATGAAAATAAAGAAAACGCATTGAATGAGAAGGTGTGTCCAAACTTTTGGCCTGTACTGTAGATTATCAGACTTCTCTGCAGATTTTTTGAGCACATTTGACATCTGAGTACAATAGCTAGTTTATTATGTAAATAAATGGGTTTAAAATCCAACTGTTAACATGTACGCTACATTCTGACTATGCATGCTAATATCTTGTCAAATAACTACACAACCAGACAAGACATCTCTGCCCAGAGGGGAAGTTCACTAACCACTGCAACCTATGTTCATATTATTGTCCCTTAACATATTGAATTATTAATATATTATTGTTATCCACAAATTTTAAATCTACTCAGAGGTGCAGTGGTTGGCAGTGTCAAACCCAGGGTGGGGGAGCCCTTTTGTGCAGAGTCTGCATGTTCTCCCTGTGTCAGCGTGGGTTTCCTCCAGGTGCTCCGGCTTCTTCCCACAGTCCAAAGACATGCATGTTAGATTAATTGGTGACTGTGAATTACCTGTAGGTGTAAATGCTAGACTACTTTTATATTTGGTTATCTGTGATGCTAAAGATACTGCAGCAACGTCTTCAAACTCTCTTGGTCATGAATGTCTGGATTTGGTTCAGTTTTAAGGCACTTAGGGCAGAGCTGTTTTGTGGGCTGCGACGTACAGAGGCAGTGGAGGCAGCTCCATGAAGGAGTGCACATTCAGTAGCATACCATACTTTAGGGATGCACGGTAATATCGGCTCATCATTGGTATCGGCCAATATTGGCTTTAAAATGAAAGAATGATCAGAATTGGTTAACATGCTTTTTCTTATTTTGCACAATGAATGAATATAACATACACAGAGAAGTACTGAATACCATGTCTCCATCTGCTGATGGGCCATCACCATAAGAGTACACATGCAAAATATGATGTTCATTCCGCTACAGAAGAGACTTGATAATGGGGAAAAAAGTGGATATATCAACAACAGCATATCTTATCAGCCAGTTAAACTGTTATATAGCCACATGTCAGATATGTACAAAACTCCAATATTGTACATCCCTACCATACTTCTTGCCTTGCTCTGACAACATCAAGCTTGCTCTGGCCTGCACATTCTCAATCAGGGGTGAATATTTTGGCTGTGCTGCCTGCCTGCTCCACACACGAAAAACACTCTACTTGTATGGTCATTTTTATTTTAGAATTTCCAATTTCGTTTGGGCAACAATCTGGGAAAAAAAAAATTTCTTTGCCCAACTCATAAGCAGTGGGGCTTGTTCTCCCGAGCCATTTCTGAGACTAAGGAGACAGTCTTCGGAAGAAGAAGGGGTTCCAACAAGGAAAGATAGATAACAGACGGGACATGAAAATTGATTGATGAAAGGAAGATGGCCAAGATAAGAAGATAACAGAAGAGAAGGCTCCGGAGATGGAGAATAGAAGATGAGGAGTACAGGCGCCTAAACAAGGAAGTGAAAAAGAGCTACAGAAATGACTAGGGAAGATGGCTAAAAAGGGAGGCACAGGAGGCAGGATAGAAGAACAATATGAGGACACTGTACGGGATCATGCGAGAGCTAACCAGCTCTAGGAGCAGGTTAAAGGAGAAAGGTTAAAAATCACCAAACACAGTGTGCTGCAACAACTGGCAGGGCATCACACTGCTGTCTATCCCTGGCAAGGTATTCTGCAGTGTTCTGCTCCAACGCCTAAAAAACCGAGGTGGTTAACGTCCTAAGGGAAAGCAAGTTGGCTTCCAAAAGGGACGGTCCTGCTCTGAACAGATCTTCACTCTTTGCAACATCATAAAACAGTGCCAATATAATCAACTGCATTGATTTCAAGAAAGCTTTCAACAGCATTCACCGGGAATCACTATGGCAGATTGTCCAGCTGTATGGCGTGCTGTCCAAATACGTGAACATCTTCAGGGCCCTGTACCCTAACTCCACTTGTTGTGTCAGAACCAGCAGCGGCACAACCGATGACTTTGACATTGTGACCGTTGTAAGACACGGTTGCATCCTGTCACCCTTGCTCTTCCTTATCATTATTGATTTTGCAATGAGGAAGATCCTCGCTGGGACGAACTTCAGCATCAAGTGGGGACAGGGCAGACTGCATGACCTGGACTTTGCGGCTGACCTGGCTCTGATTAGTCATACCCACGTTGCACTCCAGGAGATGACCAGCAATCTCCAAGAGCACGGAACAAAGGTTGGTCTACAGGTCAGCCACGAGAAGACCAAGGCCATGTTCGTCGGACAGGATGAACACCACCCACCACTCACTCTAGGTGAGTATGACATCGAGTACGACGAGAACTTCCTGCATCTTGGCAGTAACATGGTGGTACAGGAGACGTGGAGAAAGATGTACGAACGAGAATCGGCAAAGCTGCAGGAGTGTTCCAACGGCTCCGCAACATATGGTCGTCCAAAGCTATCACTACGACCATCAAGCTACGCCTGTATATGTCAGTGGTCATTCCAACAGCAACCTACACCTGTGAGACGTGGATGAGGACTGCAGTATTACCAACATGTTGGATGTCTTCCACTGACAATGCCTCAGAATCATCTTGAGGATCTCATGGCGAGACCACATCACCAACAATGAGGTGATGAGAAGGGCAGGGGTGGCACTACCGTCTGACACAGTCTCTGAGAGGAGAAGAAGAATGGCTGGACACGTACTCTGACTGCGAAGAGGGAGACCAGCGACTGTGGCAATGGACTGGACGCCTGAGGGCGGCAAGAGGAAGAGAGGGAGGCCAAAGAAGACATGGAGAAAGACGTTTAAGAAAGACCTAAGGGAGATGGGTGTCAGCTGGCATGGTGCAAGGAGGGTCACTAGGGACCTGGGCAAATGGAAGGGACTCGTCGCCCAATGTTCCAATAGGAACGGGAGTAACTAAGTCTGAGCAAGTCTTTTCTTTTGTTACTCTACTTGTTCAGGCCGAGAAATAACTTAAATCTAATTCCATACTTTGTCAAAATTTAGTAGAAACCAAACCAGCGCTAAAAGGAGAGTGAATACTGGGCTCAGATTCATCAGGATTTGCAACAGCTATTCAGGAATCCATTACAAGGTTTTTGTGTAAAGTCCTCTCTAAGTTCTTAGTAACGTTAAGCATGTTTCAAACCAATGATTTAATAAATTGGGTTTCAAAATTAAAAATGAGGAAGTGTTTTTGTCAGTAAAGACTTCAGTAATGTGTAAATGAGTAGCTATGAAACATCTGTAGTGCTGTTAAGTCAAAAGTTAAAGTGACTGCAGCATCACAAACTCTGACATAACCTCCAAAAACAATAGTTTCAGGAAGCCAAAGGATTTATTTAAATCCATAAATGTAGCTATGACTTGGTTTTACTGTCATCTGCATACCTGGCTAAATGTGTGGTATCCATGCTAATCTAATGAAAATATTTTGTTCATTTAGTTACTGCTGTAGCATTTTGTAGTTTGAGGTATGCTGTGTTTTTTGTTTAAAGTAAGAGACAATATATCCCCAATTTAGATCATTATTTAAATGCTTTCTGATCAAGTGGCAGGTCTGATGTGTTGACAATATCAAACAATACCTCTTGTACATACATTAGAAAACTAGTTTTGACAGTGGGTTCAATCAGCTACACAACAGTTCCATCTGACAGTTGGTCACTGCAAATCTAATATCTATGTAAGAACTGGCATATGTGGTACAATCAGTTTCAATTTAGTGTAAATGTACATTTAGTGAACACCCTTTACTCTTTCCACTTTGACTGTTCCTCTTGTTCCAACTCATTCTCCCTTTTTACTGCTTCATCAATTTCATCAACAAACACACACACGCACACAAAATGACATTTAACGCCGTCAATATACACTGTACCAATACAATTATCAATACTAAAATTATCACAAAATACAACCATTTAAATTTGTGTGCCCCTCCCCTAAGACAAAATAAAACATATCACAATAATAATATTGTGCAATGATCAATTCCAGTGGATTGATGGATGACCAATTCACCCAGCTCCAACTTCTGCCAACTTCTTCATTCCCCCCCAGATGATACCTCTAATTCACAGACACATTATTCTGATGTGTACTGTAAATAACACGAAAAATAGCCTGAACTGTGCAGTAAACACTGAAAAAAGTATCCTGATGCTGTGGAGTGCAGTCTGACCTGTAATGGTGTTGTAATGATAGGAAGCGTGGGTGAAGGCTTGCAGGAGGTAAGCCTTGTTCTGAAAGGTGTAGTTGATCTTTCTTTCAAAGTTCTCAAAGCCAGAGATGAGGTGGTTGAGAGTTCTCTCTGCGTCTGGATGGTCCAGTAAGCAGCGCGGCGGGATCTTCAGCCAGCCGTAGCACAGATCGATGGCTATGTTCTGACTGCTCTGCACCACTGCTCCTGTCAGGGTCCCTCTCTCCAGTGGTAACACCTGCGTTCATCAAAAACAACTCTTAATACTTATGTAAATCCTCGCAGAAAGTTTTGACAAACATTGCTTTAGAGGAGCATCTCCATACGAGCTTATCTGTTATACACTATGAGCCTGATGGCTGCTTGGTAGGGCCCTGCTGGCAGTTTATAAAGCTTGCTTTGTCACTAAGGATGCCTTGCTATCCATGCCTTAGCTATGAATCTTCCTTATAGGGATGCACCGAAATGAAAATTTGTGGCCGAAGCCGAAGCCGAATATTATTAAACGCTTGGCCGAATACCGAGTACCGAATACCGAATATCATTGTTTAGTTTTTCATTAGTTTTTGCAGATGAACCCCCTCCAGATTAGTGTTGTCACGGTACCAAAATTGGATCCCGCTGTACGATACCACGTACGTTACTGCCAGAAAGAGTAATGTTAACGGCTCGTTTCTCCTCTGACACGTCACATACCTGTGTTCGGCTGGCTCGGCTGTTCAGGTACTTCTGGGCAGTCATGACGCCAAGAAGAGGATATTATTGGAACCGACTTCTCCTCGCCGGTAAGCCAATGGCCGCCGTATTTGACAGGAATACATTACTGTCTGTGTCTGTGACCCCCGTTCAACCCACAACCGATGGGATTCGCCTTTTGTTTCTGCTGCTGGTTGAAATCTGTAGGCTGCTTGCACAGCGTGCTGAATGATTTAAGCCTATTTTGCTCACTCAAAACTATTTTTAGTCGCAAATGCAAGTGTGGTGACGGGCTGATCGCCACACTGCCGACATTTTATTCCGCCCGTCACGGCACACCGTTTGATTGCGTTATCAAAACGCCGCTATTATTCGGCCTTGCTTTTAACTTATTCCACCGAATACCGAATGTGTGTTTTTTTGCAATATTTGGCCGAATATATTTGGTTACCGAATACTCGGTGCATCCCTACTTCCTTATCTCTTTAAATGTGTCACTTGTCTACATATTGTGCTTAATCATACAGTATAGAAACGCAACACTGTGGGAATTCCCAGCTCACCTTGAGGCCCAGTGAGCAGAGGAACATCTGGGCTGCTCTCTCTCCACAGCTGGTCAGGTAGCAGCCCAGCAGAGCCTCCACACAGTCAGCGATGCTTTTGTCAGCGATGCACTGCTCCGTGTGCAGATCGTAAGATATTGACTGTTTGCCGAGCTCAGCGCCGCAGTTCTCCTCAGACGGATTCCAAAAACCCACCACGAAGTCGTCCTCCTCCCCAGCTTTACTGGGATCCAGGTAGCACATGGCGTCCCACGAGCTGTAGTCAAACTCCTCGGCAGAGGGCCCGCTGGGCACCGGCTCTGAGGGGTAGTGGGCTGTGGTGGGGTGGAGGGGCTTCTTGGGAGCCTTCCACTCGTATGGAGACTCCATGGCGGGAGAGGAGCCCGAGGCCGGGGTGAGAGATGGAGGGAAGCCGCTCAGGGAGATCTTCTTACCAAACGCTCCAGATCCCAACAACATGTTGTCGATGAACTTGATGTGCTCCTTGTAATACTCCAGATCGTCCTCCATGTTGACTTCATCTTTTGGCTCATCCTTCAGCAGCAGCTCACCATCCTCATCTACATCCTCACCCTCTTCATCATCTTCATCGTAGTCATTTCCAGACTGCCCGTTGGCCAGAAGCTCCTCTTTGGCCTGGAGGATGGAAACAAACAGGAAGAAAAGCAGAGTTCAATTAAAAAGGAAATTACAAAGACATAGTCATGATTAAGAATCGATCTGAAGAGTTGTTATCACACATTTAGTTGTCTTCATTAAACCTGAACCTCCCTGATGTAGGAGTTCCAATGAGTCCTCATGTAGTAGAGATGTCGAGTAAAACTCAGATTACAAAGATTCAACATACGTTTGCACTCAACTTGTGTTTGTAATTCCTGCTTTTTCTTATCTATAAATATTTTATTGTTTTCTAAAATACTCAACGCTGTTACAGATGTTTTTCTCAACACATTATTTATGGCCTTCTTATAGTCAAAGTACAGTCACCAGCCAAGCAACCACCCAAAAGGGTCTCTCCTGATTGGCTGCTCTCAGCTCTGTCAGCCAAAGAGTCTGCCTTTTTTGTGCAGCTGCTTTGAGTGCATCTAGTTGGAAATTTCTGAGCCTTTCAGAAAGGCACCAGTGACATTAGCTGCCATTTCTTTAGCTGAGCTACTGTCTGCTGTCACAGCAGGTAAAGAAAAGTTCATTTTTTGGGAGCCGTTTGATTATCATGGTTGGCTTAGTAAGCTTGTTGTTCACTGTGCAGTCAACCCCCTGTTAATGTAGCATTACATTGGCTACCTAGCTAATGTTAGCGTCAAGATATTGTTGTCATAGAAACATACTCATGCGGAGCATGTCGTTTAAAAAAGCACTGGGAGCGCTTTTTTATTAAGTGCTATAATGAAGCGCTCCCCAGCACCCTACCATCACTTTTCCGCTTAAGAGAAAGGCAAAAAACACCAAACACAGTGCGCTGTATATAGTTATATAGATTAAACCAAGAGTGATGAGTTTTATTTAGTCAAATTCAGTTCTAGAGGAATCATTTCAGCCCCACACCCAACCCTACAGAGGTGTTGTTCTGGTTGTTCCTGTAAATTTGTTAGTACAAACCTTAATTCCTGTACTTCATAAGGGTGACAGTCATTAAATGTATATGCAGTGGTGTGTTATTAAACTGGGTTAGGATGAACTGATAAATTGTCTGCCTTCTCTTTCTGACTAAATTCTTCCCCTGTAACTGTGTTATTGTCTTTTTAACACATTTCAAGCTGCTTTATCATACAAAGTGCATTATCAACATCATCTTAGTGTAAAAGCATTGCATATATTTTTTACTTTTAATTATAACATTTATTATAGTAAAGTAGGAGTAGAGTCTAGACTCAATGGCTGTGGGACTTCACACCATAATGCAAACATGGTGTATTGCCAGAGCAGGTGGAAGCCTGTCCTCTAGTGGCCTGATAACATCATAACACTGACAGCATCCATGACAGAAGTAAATGCATGAAGGAATTAAAAAAATACTATACTGTGAATGCCCCTTCACTAACCACCAGCTTTATCAAAGTCTAAGGTCTAACCCTTCCACATACCTGCTGACAATTTTTATTTAAATCCCAAACCCTAATGGAGCTCGTCAAAGAAGCAGGTGTATACAGCAATGCAGTAAGAAGTCAGAGAGAAGCAGGAAGTACACTGACCTCCTCTGAATCCAGTTTGTCTATGCTGCTCTTGTCCTGGTTGACCACATAGCCAGGAGGCAGCCAGTTAACAGGGGGGTCGAATATGGACACCACCATCCTGCTAGGGAGTCCCTTCTTCTTCCCCAGACGGTACAGGTTACAGTTGCTCACCTAGACATGAGCAGAGCACAGAGGGATGAGTTGACATCTGAACACACCATCATCACTTGTATACTGCAGAATTAGAAAAGTTAGCTTTTATACAACAATCAAGTGCAATCATTTTCTGGATAATAAATGAGACTAATGAAAACTAAGTGGAGATCAATCAGAAGCTGTACGGAGTAATTGAATGAATGAATAACCCATTTGCATGTTGTGCCACTGTGCAGCAACTTTCGGTTGCAGAGCAGTGCATACAACAGTAGATAACACTTTATTTTATGGACCCTATAGTTGTTAATAATTCCTAGAAAGATACTGATATGCAACTCTGATTTCTTAGGAGGGTACCTGAGATGTGCTGGAATCAACAGAGGCCCTACAATACGATATTTTCATGATACTTCTGTCACGATGCAATATTACTGGGATATCATGATCATGATCAACAAATGTGTCGAGGAATGCGATAAAATATATTGCGATATATTACCTTTTTTCAACCATAATTTGTGTCCCTTAAGGAAAACTTAATCAACATCTGTTTTATCTAATAAGACAGAAAGTTTTTAGTCTGTCCATCTCACTTCGATGATTTTTATTGCAGCAAAATGTATCTAGTGAACTGAGAAATTAATTGATTCTATTATTCTAGTAGGCCACCACAAGTTAAATTTCTACTTGTAGAATTAAAAATGTATATAATAAAAAATAAAAATAAAAATCAATATACGGTATTGCCACACATAAAAATTGTGATTCTATGCTGTATCAATTTTTTCCCCCAACTCTAGTTCCTGGAAAGGACGATGTATGGGCCCTGACACACCAAGCTGACCGTCAGGCTTTGGTCAATATCAGGCCATCGGTGAGCATCTGTTGACCTAGGCTTTACATTATGTCTGGCGCCGTTGGCACTAGTTGCCCTGTCTAGGCTGTTTTTTGGCCAATTCAGCAGGCTGAATTGACATCAGAGATGAGGGAGCCCATTGGTGAATGAAATCACTCTAATTGGCAGTTCGGAAGAGAAAGAGAAGTGAGGAAAGAAAACAAACAGCCAGAGTCAAGAAGGTGTGAGATCATAACTAGGCTTGGGCGCCATCACGATATGACAGTCTACCAGCCTGGGTATATAAAAATCCCAACAGTATGATTTTCAATACCATCAAAAATACAGGCACTCCTCTTTCTATTAAACTCATTGCATGTAGTGCACATCACGCACCACCAGAGGTCAGTCTCTGGTCTCTACAGGTGGAACAGGAAGCTGAGCTGACAGACACTGGGAGTCAGGCTGTTGGGAGGTGGGGATAACATTACTGCAGCTGGCCAGCTACAGCAGAGAGAGAGACCGCAGGGAAAACCAGCATTTTTTCCCATCTAACTGGGTGAACTACAGATTTCTTTTGACCAAAACAGAGTTGGTGATTGTTGGAACAGTGGACTAACTAACTAGATGACTGACAATCAAGACAGTTTTGGTGAGTTTTATTTTGTTTCTGTCAAGTTTGAATGACATGTGTTTTAGAATGAGGTAACAAGGCAATGTTAGTCTCAGTTCGGTGGAAGAGGGAAATATAGAAGGTGCACGGTTGTAATTCTCTGTTTAATAAGGAAAACGTAACAAACTTACCCATGGGGATGGGGGGTTGCACTATACACGAATACCATCATATACCATTAACCCAAGTGAAATTTCAGGAAGGTTTGGAAAATTAGACACAGTCTGGTCCTAATCGAACAAACATGTTATATTAGGTAAGATTACATTTACAGCCATTGAGCTCTTCAGCAGAAATGGTTTGTAATTACCTTTTCTTTTTTTAATGTCTATTAAACACTACTGCTGTCTGCTGCTATAGAGAGTTATTGCCTGTCAGACAGGCACAGAGCGTATGTGTTAGTTGCCCGTTGACTGTAGTTTTTGAAACATGTTCAAGTGCAACTTTTTTGGCTGAGACACAGGCAGCATGAAGCAACGCAACAGCTGGCCTTCGTCGCCACATGTTCTCCTTCTCTGAAGTCAGTTTGGTGTGTCTGGGCCTTAATTTGTTACTAATAATGAAGACAACATTTGATTTGTCTTTTCTAATCAACTTATTCCAATAAATTGAAAGTGCAACTGTGAGGCTTTTAGTCAGTGCACAGCAGATCAGATGAATGTCCTTTTAAGTGCAATTATAAATTATGTGCAAATATATAATTCAACAAGCAAGAAAGATTATGTTTATAATAATACATTAATATTTACATGGGCTAATGTAAATGTCTCAGTTTTTCAGTTATTTATTGGTTTAATTTTTTTGGGGCGGAACTTTCAGACATGTCTTGAAGTTTGTTCCATTGACATGGTGTCAGTGTTTTCATGTAACCTGCGTATGTAATCTTCATAGCAAATGAGCAAACTCCATCCACTGATGAAAGCCACAAAATAAGGACAAAGGACTAAAGCTCCTGAAAAACCATGTCACAGTCTTTGGTAATAGCAGCTTAAAGCGAAAAAGTACTTACCTTCTTGCTGCGCATGTAGCTTAGTCGTCCCTCGTGAGCGTCAGGGTAGGTACAGAACAGGTATGTGGTGATGGCATGCTTAAGGAAAGAGTCTCCTAGCATCTCCAGCCGCTCCAGGTTGAAGCCGTCACTGGCATTTGATAGGGTCAAGGCCTGCAGGATGAGGCCTGGGTTTGGCCCCAGGCTTTTGGGGGAGTCTCCTACCTGGGCTCTGTGCTGAGGGACAGCGACAAGAAGAGAAGGTGCTGTGGGAACACTGGGACCTGTGGCTGCCTGGTTGCAGAATGAGGTAGCTTTATTTGCGTGGTCTGAGGTCCTCCCTGGTGTACATTCATCACTAGGCTGTGGAGGACTGGAGCTGGGCTTCTTCAAGCTGTGAGAGGGCTGCACAGGAACTGAGGTAGTGGTTTGTATTGATTCAGGGCTCTGCAGCCCAGGGGAGCTGGGCTGGGAGCGTTGGCAATTGTCATGTTGGTGAAGGTGCTCATGTCGGTGGCCGTCGTCATCGCAGTCGCTGACTAGGGCAGTGCCGTTGGTTAGGTTCCTCGTGCATGTGTCTTCTTGCTGCTCAAGGGCCGCGAGAGGCCCCTGCTCGGGCAAAGAAGAGTGGTGACTACTTGGATGTGTCAGGGAATTGGTTTCAGGGGTTACAGTCTCTTGGTGCTTACAGTGGCCCTCCCCATCTTCGCTACAGGAGTCGGGACAGGAGATGAACGTTTTGCTGTCAATAGATCTCTTCCAGCCAAAGTCCAGGTTTGGATATCTGCCACATACACAACATATTTATATTAGAATGTTAGGAAACTGTTTTGGTTAAGTATACCTACAAATGAACAAAATCTTGACGAGAGTGCAGAAAAAGACTTATATCTCTCCTGTCAGCAGTGGTTCAGGCATGTTTTGATCTGTCTGTATCATCCTGCCTTCTTTCAGTGCACATGGCTGTCCAGTTGCAAAAAGCACTACCAGCATACTTCATATGCTGTATTGTAGCGATTACGCATAAAATACCTGTATGCAGTTATAGTGTTACATTAGAGTATAATGGTGTGAGGCCATTGTTTCACTATTCAAGAAAAATCCTGATTCAGCAAATGGAATAACTGAGAGTGACTCATTTTTATTTAACACTGATGTTATATGTTGTGTAGTGTACAGTATGTAACAGGGACCTGAAGTCAGGGGGGAGGGTCTGGGCTCCCACTCCAGCTTCACTGGCTGTCTGGGCTCGAAGCTCCTCAGCGGTTAGAAGGCAGTGGAGGCGGTAGAGGATGCTGGGCAAACACACTGCTTTCCTCCACAGAGAGGCGGGGATGGGGTGGATGGCACACAGCTCTGGAACCAGGATCTGACAAACACAACACAGTACACAATGTATGGAAGGTGATGTAGCTGAAAGTCATTTCTGTAGTAAAGGTAACGTTCACACAGACTCACCGCAGCTGACTTCATTTATTTATTTACTTAAAGATGGAGACATCTGCCTCAGAATGCTCAGAAGATAGAAAATTATGAATGCATAATAAAGACAGACTGATGCAAACTAGGCTAGACTCGACTTAACAGGGTCTAAGTGGGCATTCAGACAGCATTAAGAAATGGAAAGGTCTATGTTGGTGCAGGTGAATTGTTTCAGGTGCTGATAAGTGCATAAAATGTAAACCAGGAAAGTTTAACTAATAGATTCATGAGCATGAAGGTTTATCAAACATCAAATCACTGTGTGGTTCACCCCGGTGCTTCTATCAGTGTGACCATAGCAGCAGAGAGTACCTGTTTGTTCTGTAGACTCTCCCACTTGGCCTTCCTCTTCTCTGCACTGCTGAGTGGTAGGGCTTTGCCCTTCTGGTTCAGATGCCGAGGGGTTAACAGGTTCAGTCTGAGAGAAAAAGAAACAAGAGTCTAAACTTAATACCAGTTCAAATGCAATTTGTGTACAATGAGGGATGCTTAAGTGCTGTCAGTAAAATTTAGCTAATGCTAATCACACCAGAAGACAAGACCCACAATTTATTAACCCCTCAGTTCTGTCATAATATCAGGTGTGCTCAGCGACAGGCTGAAGTCGTCACGTTTTGAGCCACCGCTGCTCATCTCTTATGTTAAGCTTATTTCTTTCAAACTCCACACCTCCAGATTTTTTTACTTTTCAAACTTGTAGTCTTCGGACCAAACCGACATTACATTTACATGACATTAGAGAATATTGATTTATTATGTAAATCTGACTATAATCAGACTTTTAAAATACATGTAAACATGTTAGTCTGACTGAAATTGTACCAAATCGAATTTTCTCAAAGTCGGACTAACACACAGACGATGCGACTAGAAGCTGAATTACTCCTGCCTGTATACAGTCAATCACACCCAAACTGGCCTAGGCGCTCTGCGCATGTTTCACAGTTTCCAGCCCGTGCTTTGACCCCGAAGTTGAACAGCATTAAATGCGTAATAGAAGAAGAAGCCTGTAGCAACATGGCAAAATCTATATCCAGAGCTGTGCATTATGGATTGGACGAAATGTACAGAGCTGTAAAGTTTTCCACCATGGTGCCTTTTTTCCACTAGCTCACCGTAGTTAACTTGCTTGTCAGTTGTTTGGTCTGTGATGTAATGGGTCAACCGGAAAAAGGTCCAATACTAACAAGCTGAAAAGTGGCATGTTGCCACCTATCATAGTGGACATACTTTGGTCAAAAAATCAATTCCCTCTAACCTTAGCTCGATTTAACTGTGCATGTAAACATTTTAACTGACTCAGTCACATCATTTGATAATATTTACCAGACTTCACACAGCTCCGTCTGGAGACAATAAAGGTTTTACGCTACTTCTTCCCACATATGCAGTAGTACTCCTTAGCACCTGGAAACAGATGATGTGTAAAACCTGTTCTTTTGAACAAACTCAGGAAAAAAGACAAAAAACAGTAAGCTAGAGCTTTGTAAATTTCTATCAGTGAGACCACCACATGCCACTGATAGAAAATGGAGAGGGATCTACAGCTTTATTTAACTGTCATGATTCCACTGCTGCTGACCTGGAGGAGGTGTGGTCTACGTCCAGAAGCGGCTGGTTCAGGTTGGACAGGTCCAGGTTGTACTTGGTTTTGTAGTACTCAGCAAACGTCTCATACTCTGGTGAAGGAAACTTACTGAGCGGCGTCAGGTCTGTGTACACATCGGCAACATAGAAGCGATGAGGCTGGTCAAAGTTACGATACCTGGGAGAGAAGCAGTGTGATGGTCATTATGGAGCTCGAATCACTTTCCAAGTCAGTTTGTTCCTCAAAAATCAGAAGCATTTATACACAGTCAAAGTGCAGTATGCTCATATGGTGCAGTGGTACCTTGGAATGATGACAGCATCCTGGTAGTCCTCCAGCTTGAAGGTGAAGGGGTTCTGCTTGGTGTACTGAGTGGTAGGAATGCCAGTGCGGGCCTCAGACTTCTCAATGTCCTCCATGAACTTAAAATCCATATCTAGTGTGTTGGAGTCCCCAACTGAACAAACCAATGAAGCAGCACAGAGAGGATAATGGAAGGAATATCATAAGCATGTCCACACATCTGAAAAAGTCATCCACCAAGCCTGACTGAGTGATTCTACTCACCAACATTCAGAGGTAGAACGCAATAAGCCGAGTCAGCCAGCGTGGGCTTGAACTCCAGTGCAGGTTTCTCCAGGCGGAGGATGTGGGAGAAGATGTACTGGTGCAGGCGGGTGATGAGGTCGAGCTGGGCGGTGGTGAGCGTGAAACCAGACTTTTGCAGCTCGATGGAGATGGTCACCTCACCCGATCGGGTGTACACCGGGAAATGGGGAATCTGGACAGACAGAAAGCATCCATAACCAATGGTGAGAGGACACTGCTGGAGCCACTTCTTTCTTATGGTAAGTGAGTAAAAGAAGTGGAAACATGTTTGAGAGAACACAAGGAGGTTTTAACCAGGTGACATACTCGAGGTATAGGTTTGGCAGTCAGGATGCCGAAGCACCTGGTGGTGTCCTCCGGTGGGTAGAGCTTCCTTCTGCGGAAGTTGAGCTCATCAGGGAGAGGGGTGGTGAGGACCATCCCAATCACATATAGGTAGTAAGTCTGCTCGGGTACAGCATAACTGTCCCGCAGACACTCTGGTATCTGGAGAGGACAAAAAAGAAAAGGGACGGACTATTTACAAAGTTCAGGAGCATTCTATATGTTCACTGTTTCTGACATGAATAGTCAGACAAACTTAAATAAATAAATGTAGACTGACTATCCTTAATAATTGACCCATGCTTGTTTTTGAGATAAAACAAATATCTGTAATTAATACCAGATCTCAGGTAATCAATGCGATCTGCCATCTTGCTACTACGATTTATGTCCATTGTGCACTGTGCAATGCTTTCTGTTCATGATGAATCCTTGATTATAATGGTTTAACTCAAAACTGGTGGAAATGCGGGCTGGTTTGTAGATAGCACCAAGGTTCCAAGAATTCTCAGGGGAACAGTTAAGGAAAAAGTATAAGCGTGGTGTTTTTCACCTGAGGAAACCCCTTTTGGTTGAGCATTTATAGTGTGAGACACAGCAGCTTGTTTGTCTGAGTTGAGAATTAATGTGTGAGGTGAATCAAAAGCCGACCACTATTCTATTTGGTAGCTGTAGGCCAGTCTATCACAGGACAATGAGATGGCGAGTGCATTTAAAAAAATGCAGCGTGACGAAAAAAATATTTCATACACCAGATGTAACACAGACCTGCTGATGCGCATTCAATCCCGTTGATATGAGTCACCTGTCACCGTTTGTCTCTGTTAGTAGAGACTCCACTCTGCAGGGTAGTTTATACACTTTACTGACACACCAGATAATTACACAGTAACACTGGGCTTCACAAATTCCCTCTCTCTTACCATTAACTATAAATGTAATACTGACTAAAAAGTCATTTTACTTTCACATCCTTGCATTTATTATGTTCATCTGTAGTGTAGGGTTATATGGGCACAGGGGAGTTGAGGGTAGGCCATTTGACAATATCCCAGACAAGCTCCCTCTTTTTCGACTGTTCTTTGCTTTTGTTGTGTTAACAATAGTTAACAGGTTATACACTTCTTTTTAAAATACAAAAATGTGAAATTATCGGTTATCAGCCATAAGAAGCAGGTAATTATGGGTTATCGGCATCGGTTGAAAAAATCCATATGGAAGCATCACTAGTCAAAAGAATTTCAGGTTTGTCCCATGAAACAAACCATGAAAAGAAATTGTATGAACTAGGGATGCTGCGATCCAACTTTTTCACTCTCGACCTGATACCGATACCACAGCCCTAGTACCAATCCGATACCAGCGCATATTTCTCTCTCTCTGTTCTGACCAATAGGTTCACTTTTTTTAGTACTTATTTTGTAATGTGGAATAATAGAAAAGGCTTGATCAAGTGCTATTACTCAAAATGAGAATAACATACTTCCCGAGATGAATAGTCCACAACAGTAGGTTATTATGACAAAACGTGAACCATTTATTAGATATTTAAATTTTTACACGTTTATACGTTTAATACACGTTCTGCATTCGGCCATTCCATCTTTTCCGTTTTTCAGAAGGAAGTACTGCCACACCGCTGACATTTTTTTCAACTATCCACGCTGTTTTTCACCCGGTTGTTGTTATCACGTAACCTCCCCCTCCCGCTCTCCTCTCTTCTTCGTGTGTTACAATTAAGTACTGGATGGAAAAGCTGGAGCGGATTTCTGGAATGGAGTGCTAGTATCGCACTTTTCCCCTGCAGTGCGATACGTTTTTTGGCTGGATCACAGCATATTTTCGAGCCGCGATCTGGATCACAGCATCCCTAGTATGAACACTGTATTTTGTGTTGAGATGCTTATCCTCAGCATTCAATGAGAGTCAGTGAACTGTGATCAGACAGTGAGCTTTAATGAATGAGGCGTTAGCAGAATGACTTTCTTACGGCTTTAGGGTAGCACTGCCTCCTCTTGGTAGAGCCAGGCCGGCCTGGTACGCTGGTCTCCTCCTCATCATGAAGGTCCAGCTCCTCTTCATACTTCACTGTCTCCTTTCCCACCGGCATCAAGTGATCGTCCAGCTCACCTGGTGAGAAGGAAGTAAAATAAACATGCTCAGATATCTGTGGAGGCTGATGGTGAGTAAGTTTCCTAATCATGCATTTGCAAAATTTCAATTCTGGTTTTACCTATTTTGTGGAGTTTCTCACAACATACTAGTGCAACTGCTTTCTCTGCCAGTCTGGCACAATTCATTGTAGGACCCTGTAAAGACAATGACACATTAATAACAGAGGAAGGAATATGATTCAGTCTGAGTAAATTCCAGGAGGGAGGCTAGAAACAGTTCACTGTGTTAGTGTGTATTAACAGTGCAGTGTTAAAGGTTGGGGGAACTGATGAACATTCGGGACACACCTACTTAAGTGCTTGTGCATTAAAATTCATTAAAATTTCTTCTTCCTCACCTTAACAGGAACTCGCAGAGGGGAGTTGATGGGTAAGTAGAGTGTGGACTGGAAGCGTTCATCCAGCTTCTCAGTAGTTTTACACTTGGGTGCTAAGTGGGTGAATGGGTCACTGGGCAGCCGAGCACAGTACCTGAGCACCAGAGCAAGTAAGACATTAACAACACTTTTCTAAAGCTGATTTTTGTTTGTTCATGTTCTTTTCTTAAAGCTACAGTAGATAATTTTTTATTAAAAAAGGAACTGTCATACTGTCTTAAACTTTCACTATATCCTAACAGAAGTAAATAAGACAGATAATCTATGAAATCTATGAAATCAGATTGCTCTGGCTCCTGTATCCACTGCACTTGAACAAAAATATCCCATCAGAGCCAGAAGGAGACTAACACAGTCTCGATCACTGCTTGTGCACACTGCGCTGCCAACAACAGCATACATGGCAAAGACAAGTAAACAAAAGACCTGATAATGAAAAGCAAACTAAAAAGAAAGACTTAAACCAAGCCTGAGATCAAAAGTATTACGGCCCTGTGGTTGTATGCCTCTGCAAACCTTTCAAGTTGCACTTACAGTTTACATCCATGTTTTCACAGACATGGCTGACCTTAAGGACGATGTCTGTATCTGTCCAAATGTCTCCTCTTTGTCTCCTCCTGCTCCTGACATAGGACATTGTGTAATGGCCAGAAAACGTGTTTTACATTATGATGTCGCGGTGAAGCTGACCTTTGACCTTTTGGATATCAAATCATCACTTCATCATTATATCTTATTAGACATTAGTGTGAAGTTTTCTCATAATTAGCATAAAAATTCTTGAGTTATGGTTAAAACGTGTATTGTGAGGTCACAGTGACCTCAAGGTGTTCTTGACATATTGCTTTCACGAGAATGAGACAGATGAGGTCACAGTGACCTTGAATTTTGACCACCAAATTCTAATCAGTTCATCCTTGACTCAAAGTGGATGTTTGTGCCAAATTTTAAGAAATTCTCTCAAGGTGTTCTTGAGATATCTCTTTCAAGAGACTGAGACCTACATCAGGTCACAGTGACCTTGACCTTTGACCACCAAATTCTAATCAGTTCTTGTGCCAAATTTGCTGTTTCTCAGCTGTGTTTGCAAAGCCCCTCCTGACACAGCGCACTGAAGATACTGAGCTTGACTGAGTGAGAGCATGCACAGGGGAGAGGGGCTGTGCAGCGTGTGCACGACCAGTGACTGATAGTGTGTTAAAGACTCCTCCTGGCTCTGATCTGTTGTTTTCATTCAAGCGCAGTGGATTCTTGCAAATGCCATTAGGAGCACAAGGGGAAACCAAAGGAACCTAATTTCTGATCACAGATTATCGATCTCATGTCAGAATATAGTAGCTGGTTCAGCAAATATGACAGAAGTAATTTTTTTAAAAAGGTACCTACTGTAGCTTAAAGAATTGAGGATTTAAACATACATCACCATACCTGTTGATGTGTCCAATGGCTGTATTAATGGTGACCCGGGGACCTCCATCCTCAGATCGAAGCACGTAGGGTGGGAGGATGTTGTCATCGTCCATCACCTGCTCCACTTCAAACTCACTCACCTCCACTGACTTGGAGCACTTGTTCCTTAAGATCTGCTCAAAGTAAAACGAGATCATCATCACTACCTCACTCTTCTTCACTTTCAAATAGTAGATATGATTTCTCCTCATTAAACAGGTTTGGAAACTAACTTAACACTGACAGTTTCTAGATGCCTCCTAACACTATTCAAATAACCAACTACTGACTTACTCTAAGAAACAAAGAGAAAATGTTACCTTTTCTATGGCCTTATAGGTAGTGAGATCTTCTTCAAAAGCTTTGGTTCTCTCACTGTCAGCTAGCATGATGTAGTTGGAGACAGGTGCTCGAGCTCTGCCTTTGGACTGGACGTAGGACCTGTACTCTGTGGGCAAGTCAAACCGCACCACCAGATTACACTTTGGGATATCCACGCCTTCTTCCACGATGCTGGTGGCAATCAGCAGGTTGGTTTCATGAGCCCGGAATTTGCGAAGAACCTGCGAGAGAAGGGGAGGTGGGGGACAAACAGGCCGGAGTCTTGATACTGCTTTGATAATATGTTGACAAATGTGTTCCAAACTATTTTATTTGCCATTTTAGTGCTGGGCGATATAATGACTCGGTACCATATATCAATATATTTTCAAACAAGATATTGATTTACACAATACCATTCATATCGAAATACTCAAATTGCGTTACATAAGGCATACCACTGTGCATCTCTCCTCTCTCACACTCTCCGCACAGCTCCGCCCCATGCACTCACCCAGAAGTTCTCCAGCAACACACAGAGAGACACTGTGCTGCTACTCTGTTTAATCTGTATGTTAATTAGGCTACAGTGCGACATCAGTCTATAAACTGCACGTGCTACACTAAATCAGCCTGTGAGATGAATAAAATTACCGCAGTAGCATACATACAATACTGTGGGCCTTCACCGCGGTCACGCTTTGCTGCAACGGAAAATCCTGCCATGCTGACATGCCGTGTTGACTTGCGTTTCAATTGTCAGTTTAGACGCCCCGTGCGAGATGGACATTCTCAGGTTCCTTTAAAGGCCCAGACACATTAATACGACTTCTGAGAATTGCCGAATTGCCTGACTTCACAATGTCTCGGCCAAAAAGTTGCACATGAACACACCAAACTGACAGCCAGCAAGTGTGTATGTTCTGCGCCTGCATGTGAGGACATACCCCTCCACACCAGCAGACGGCGGTAGTCTGTAATCATCATCCAAAAAGGGAAACTGAAATATTGTCATGACGCTAGTTAGCCAATTAGCACATTAACAACACAAATGAATGTTGCACTAACAGAGCATATTAACCGTGCACCAGTAAACCAGAACACGAACCATCAGGAAATGTTTCTGCTAAAGAGCTCAGTGACTGACTTCACTCAGTGAAGAAAAACAATCTTACCTCCAATAACAAGTTTGTTTTGGTCTCACTCTCTCGCTACTTTAGCTCTTTGTTTACATTTCTTACTTGAATCTATCTGCTCGTGCTCTGAGCTGAACTGCCAATCAGAGTGATTTCATTAGCCAACGCAGATTCATTATGCTAAATTGTGAGAAAAAAAGCCAACTAGCTCCAGTTGGGGCCAACAGTGCGGGACACACTGCACCGACAACAGCAACAGATACTCACCAACAGCCCAACACTGACTGACGGCCCATAAACAGCTTGGTGTGTCAGGGCCTTAAGGTAAACTGTTAAGGTGGACCAGCTATTGACATTGTAGTGAAAATCTCAGCTGCTCCTGGCCAGATAATGGAGAAATGTCTGCCTGCTGACTCTCGAGTTAGGGAGACAATTATTGATCCCAAATCAAAACCTTATTGTACTGTAACTCAATTGTCCACGAAAGACAAGAAACCACAGGAAAGCAATGTAGCAGCCAGAAACTGTATGTATATCCATATATGACATAAGTTGTAGTGACATTGAGTTTGAAACATGGACATGTATGTAAATGGCAATACGAAAGAGAGGCTGGTGTCTCCACTGTCTAATACGTCCACATCGCTTTTTTGTCCGTATACCTCCTCTTGTTTCCTGAACTCCACCTCCATCTGCTTGTTCCGCGGCTGGTTTTTGCCGATGCTGTGACCCGTGATAAAGTTGCTGCTGATGTAAGCCAGCTCTGGGTCCTGCTTCCCCGCCTCTTTGATCAGACTGAGGAAGAAACACACACAGCATGTCAGAGACCATCATTCTTCTTAAATCAATTAGTCAATTATTCTGCATGCATAAAGTTTCACAGCAGACCTCTTGAGTTCTGTGTTAAAAAGGCTCTAGTTAAGCTAGAATTACGGCCCTGCGGTTGTATGCCTCCACGCACCAGTCAAGTTTCTCTTACAGTTTACATCCATGTCTGTGTAATTATGGATCCATCACCAGAGTTGGGTATAACGTGTTACAAAGTAACACGTTAGAGTACTTTGATTACTTTTTGCAGTAACGAGTAACCTAACGTGTTAGTTTGCTGTTTGAGTAATCAAATACTTAAGTACATTTTCAAACAAGACATCAGTTACTTCCGTTACTTTTAGAACGCTGGTCCTTCAGTTCTGAAACAGCAGCGGCTGTCATTTGGTTCTAATAACGGAGATAACGTTAAACCTATCAGTCTGAAAGAAGCCACGGAGCTTGTGGCTCGCTACGTGGTCAGAGAAATGCTGCCATTGTCTACGGTGGAGTCTAAATAGGTGGAGTAGGACTCGCTGACAGACATATTTCAGACTCAGGACTTGCATTATGTCTGGTACACACTACACGCTGGTACTCACCAATTATCCCCGGTCGTCTTTCACAGGGTGTGTGATGTCATCGGGTTATTCTTGTCCTATTTTTATTACTTTCACTATTTGAGTCACTGTGTCTGTTCATGTGCCAGCCGACATGTTGTTGTAGTCACCTAAAAGCGTCAGCAGATGGCAGGAGCTACATTTGAAGCGCCATACGTAAACATTCAAGCTACTGTATCTTCCACAGGAAGTTCTGACAAATGTTTCAAAATAAAAGCCTATTTAGAAAATGAAGGGATTCTCTCAGCCGAGGTTATAAGGGGCTTTTAATTTGAAACAAGTGTTGAGTTTGAAATGACGGTGCGATATGTTAACTTTAGAGAGGGACTAATAAATAACCGACCGTCTATAATGTAGTTTGTTTCAAATGAAGCTGGGAGCCTCTGCAGTTGTGGTGAGTAAAAGCCCCGCCGCTATTTGTTAATGTTATTACTTTATGTCTGACCGTGAGGATGTACCATTGTTTAGTTAGCTTGATGCTAATGACAGTAACGTTAACTCAGCGGGTTGACAAAGTGCCTCTGCTGTTTCACACCATCATTTCCCCCTTTTACTCTGTGTGGTAACATCCCTAGAGGAAATATTAAAAATGCTGGGGTGTTGTTGTCATACAGTTGTCTACGGCAGCAGATCGTTCTGTGTTTCTACTGGTCCAAGTGATGGCTGTGAAGGGAGAATTGGATCTCAGTGAAGGACAAGTGGTCCATAACTTTAATTTTGGAGACAAAAAAATGTAGGCTTAGTGCCCTGTGGTCCATTGCCCAATAGGAAATGTAGAATACTCAAAAGTACTTTAAAAGTGCTTGAGTTACTTTTCTCAGGGAGTAACGTTGGAAGTACTTTTAAAGTAACTGAGTTACTTTACTCAGGGAGTAATGCAGTAAAGTAACTGGTTACTTTTTTTAAAAAGTAACGCAGTAACGTACTTTGATTACTTTTAAAGTGACCCTTACCCAACACTGTCCATCACACACATCTTTCCCCCTTACAGCACAGAAGATCTATACAATCAGCACAGTTTCAAGGAGGGCACCCACGATTAGTGTCACCAATTAAGTATCTGACCAAATGTCTCCCCTTCTGTTCCTGAGATACGACGTTGAATAATGGCCAGAAAAGTGTTTTATGCAGAACATTATGATGTCACATTAAAGTTGACTTTTGAGCTTTTGGATATAAAATCTCATCACTTCATTATTTTATCCTATTAGATATTGGTGTGAAGTTTTATCATAATTAGCACATGAATTCATGAGTTATGGTCAAAAACAGATTTTGTGAGGTCACACTTACCTTGACCTTTGACCACAAAATTCTAACCAATGTATTCTTAAGTCCAGGTAGACGTTTGTGTCAAATTTGAAGAAATTCCCTTGATGCATTCTTGAGATAACATGTTCCCAAGGATGGAACCGACGGATGTATATATGTACGTACAGACATATGAAAGGACAACCCCAAAACATTATGCCTCCAACTACGGCTATCATTGGCATGGAGGCATAAAAAAGACAACAGACAAAAGCTAGTGACTTCACATTAAAGGCCACCAACCATCACATTGAGTACAGTTAGATAAACTAAAGAAAATTCAATGTTTCTGTGTATAGTAAGTAGAACTCACAGCACAGGGCAAACAACCATGAAGATGACAAAGACTTACCGATTGAGGACGACAGCTGTGTACCTCCTCTCCACAAAGATGATCCCACAGAGGATGTTGGTGAACGGTGAGGGAAAGTTGGCTTCGGGCCTCTCTTTGGCCTCCACCTCCTCATCCTCATCTTCGTCCTCAGAGTCGCTCCAGGACACATAGTTGTCCTGGTTGCGGTTGTTGTACCACTCCACACTTTCAAACTGCTGCCGCTCAAAGGGCTTGTATTCATGCAGGATCTCGAGCAGCCGGAGGACCTTGGGGGTGACAAACTTAAGATCCAGCGAGGCAGGAGAGAAGTGCTCCTCACAGAGTGCATGCACTTTGCGCAGGATGGTGTCGGTGAAGAGTAGAAACTTGCGGTTGAGCTCCTCCTGCTCATGTTTGATGTACTTCTGGAGCTCCCGCACCATGATGCCTGCTGCCTTATCTGCACACCAGGGTCCCAGCACCTGCAGCACGGCCAGGCAGTCACTGAGGACCTGGAGAGGACAGAGACACTGTCAACAGCAGTTTGATTTGTTTTCTTCTTACTTAAAGCCTCAGGAACCTTTCCAGCAACCTTTTTATGAGCCCATGATGCATGACTGCGTATTGACCTGAGGAAAATAGGTCTAAATTTAGCACTTAGCGCATAATTCCTTCTCACCAATAAGTCAGTGCTTCAGTGGCAGGAGTTTCCAACGAACCAGGGACTACCATGGCATCACTGACTGGTCAAACGCAAGCCTTGAGGCTGCTACAACTTCTCTACAGCACTCACTCACACTGTGAGCACTCAGTTGTTGACGGTAGTATCAAGATTAGGACAACTTGTCAAACAAAGTACGACAAAGAGAGAAAGTGGGAAAACAAAAGAGAAAGACTAACAATGGAGCTTTGAGTTGGTTTATAAGATCTTTGGTCACTGTGGCACAGTAGCCTTCACTATTACTTAGGACATGTAACTAATCAGATAGTATTGTGGGCGGGACATTGAGCGAGGCTACAGAATGGTGACTGTAGACAGAGAAAGGCAACTGCATCAGAGCCAAGTATAGTTCAGTCAACACATTTGTTTTACACACACCAGTCAACTTTCTCTTACAGTTTACATTGACGTCTGTGAAAACATAGATGCTTTACACCCGTTGACCCCCCCGACAGCACAGAAGCTCTATACAGTCAGCACAGTGTCAAGGTGGGAACCCAAGGTGTGTGTCACCAAATCAGTATCTCATCAAATGTCTCCCCTTTTATTCCTGAGATATGACACTGAATAATGGCCAGAAAAAGTGTTTTATGCAGAACACTATGATGTCACAATGAAGTTGACCTTTGACCCTTTGGATAAAAAATGTCATCACTTCATTATTTTATCCTATCAGACATTTGTGTGAAGTTTTGTCATAATTAGCACATGAATTCTTGAGTTATGGCCAACACATAGTTTGTGAGGTTACAGCAACCTTGACCTTTGACCACAAAATAGTTTATTCTTCAGTCCAAGTGGACGTTTGAGTCAAAGTTTAAGAAATTCCATTAAGGCCTTCTTGAGGTATTGCATTCACAAGAATGCACTGGATGAGGTCACAGTGACCTTGATCTTCAACCACCAAAATCCAGTCAGTTCATTGTTGAGTCCAAGTAAAATTTGTGCCAAATTTGAAGAAAACCTTCTAGGTTTTCTTGAGATATCACGTTCACAAGACTGAGACAGATGAAGTCACATGGACTTGACCGTGGACCACCAAAATCTAATCACTTCATTGTTAAGTCCAAGTGAATATATGTGGCAAATTTTAAGATATTGCCGAAGACGTTCTAGAGATCTCACATTCACAAAAATAAGACAGACAAGGCCACAGTGACCTTGACCTATGACCACCAGAATCTAATCATTTTATTGTTGAGTTCAAGTCGACATTTGTGCCTAATATGAAGAAATTCCCTTGAGGTGTTCTTGAGATACTGTGTTCACAAGGACGGGATGGACGGACAGACAGACGGATGTACTTGCGTACGGACAGACGGATGGACAACTCAAAAACATAATGCCTCCAGCCATGGCTATCACTGGAGCGGAGGCATAAAAGAAAGTGAAAATCATATGATCAAATAATGACACGGCTCTGACCTGTTTGGAGATGAACGTGGGGTCCCGGTCCTCTCTGGCAACAGATATGTTGCAGTCATTCAGGAAGTGGAGAGCTTCATCCAGCTCTGCCTGAAGGCAGGAAGAGAGGCCACTCTTATCAACATAGGGGCCACAGTCCAGCACCACTTCTCTGGGCTGGGAGGCATATCTGGGGGGGGGAAAAAAAAAAAAAAAAAAAAAAACAGCACAAGTTTAGACTTCAGGATACATCTATGGGTCACTATTACTGGCTGCCAATTTATTGCTGCCATTGATTTTCATTCATGGAGTGATTTTATGAAGCTGTTGCAAAATTTAGTTGTAACTTTCAAAAATCTGTAGATGAAGTTGTTCACCTCTGGTATATAATCACTTTTAGTACCTGTCCAGGACCACAAGGTCAGTGGCAGTTTCAGCGTTGCTCTTCAGGATTCTCTCCAGATTCTGGATCTTCTGCTCCAGTTCTGACGGGTCACACTTCCCATTCAGAATGGAGGCTGTGAGACCCAGGATACGAGGACTGCAGGAGCAGCCCTCAAACAGCTACAGAGAGAGAAAGGAGAGCAAGGTCATTCACTATTCTCTGGAATAAGCGTTTGCCAGTCCTGCAAAGAAACATGAATTTTACTTGCAACCAAAATCTCACCTTCATTATCTCACAGTAAGGGTGGTCTGTGATGGCCAGGTGACAATCATCAAAAACCACCAAGTTGATTTTAGACAACGGTAAGATTTTATTTCTCAGAACGTGCAGAAATATGTGGCAAGTCATGACCAGCACCTGTAAAAGTGACAGGAGTGAAAAGAATGTTATTATCAACAGTGACCATAGCATTATTCAGTTTGACTATGACACTGAAAGTCAACAATTCGACTTAAGAGTCCTGAGTCAAACCGCATGTTGTCAGTCTATGCACAATGTACAGTTTGATTAGTCAGTCAATAGGACAACACAGTATAACAATGCAACAAGGCTTTTCAAACCTAGTTTAAAATTTACATCCAACATAATTGTAATGAAAATAACTAAATATGAAAAATGTACAGAACTGAGTGTAACCCAAATGCGGATGGACTGTGCACCCTTTGAGGTGGCTGCTTGATCATGGTGCATGTGACTGTGCTGAAATTGGAACGAACATTAATAGTGTATGTTTTTTTTTTATAGCTAGACCACTAAGGCCACCTGTATTAATCAACCACCATTGCCTATTGTTAAACCTGACATAACTTTACCAGGGACAGACAAACAAAAAGGATTTGCAAATCATTGTTTTCTATTTTTATTTAGGTTTTACACAGCATCCCAACTTTTTTTGGAATCTGGGTTATAGTATGAAGCTGGTGTTGACTTATTAAGACAAATATTGCCAAAGGCAATGAGAATGATAAGCACACCTGATTCTCGATTATCTCTTGACTCCACCGTTGGTCAGTCCATGCTGAGGTCTCCTCCAGATCTGTGTACTCTCCCACTTGGAGGTCAGAGTGAGTCCTGACTGCAGCTGCTTGCTGAACTACAGACAAAGCTGGACAATGTAGACCACACAAACAATGAACTACTTCGAAAAGTTTAATTATTCCATGGGTTTCAATTTACATGAGCAATGAGCTGGGTGAATGAACAATGCCACTTTCAAAATGTATTTTATAGTTCACAAAATGGCACACCAAAAGCACATAGAAACTTCTGTGGTGCATCAAAAACAACAGCTGGTGTTGTGTGTTGCAGGTACCTGTGTTCACCAGAAAAACAGTCCTCTTCGCATTTTCTTGGTAATGTCCACGGATTTGGTGGGAGAGCTCTTTTGTTAGAAGTACTGCAATAAAGGTCTTCCCTGAGCCAGTATTCAAGCAGACAATAGTATTATGTTCAAGAGCTGCTTCAAGAAGTTCTACCTGTGGAAGAGAGTAAAGGTTCACAGACAGTGAGCTGAGGAAGGAAAGTGTCCGCTCAAATGAATACAATACTAATCCAAGAGAACAAAACTACAGCAATGAATCGCTCTAAATTTGCCATTTTTCTCTCTTACACACTACTCCAAAAAATTAAGGGAACACTTAACTCACACATTAGATCTTGATGACTAAATTATTCAAGTTGAAGATCTTTACTGATGTACATTGTATAATTTGTTAAGAACATGGGGGTCCAACATCCTCTAGTGGGACCTGTGCTCACAGCCCAGCACCTTGCAGCTCGATTGGCATTCACATCACAACACCAGAATTGGCAGGTCCCCATCTGTGCCCTGTTCTCCTCACAGATGAGAGCAGGTTCACAATGAGCATATCTGACGGGGAAGAGTCTGGAGACACCGTAATGAATGTTATGCTGCCTGTAATATCATCCAGCATGACCTGTTTGGCTGTGGGTCAGTGATGGTCTGGGGCATATCCTTGGAGGGTTGCACAGACCTCTATGTCATAGCCAACATTACCCTGACTGCTGTTAGGTACTGGGATGAAGTCCTCAGAGCAACTGTCAGACCTTACGCTGGTGCAGTGGGCCCTGGGTTCCTCCCGGTGCTGGACAATGCCTGGCCTCATGTGACCAGAGTGATAAGGCAGTTCCAGGATGACAAAGGCATCGATGCCATCGACTGGCCCTCTTGTTCCCCTCTGACCTAAATCCAATTGAGCACCTATGTGATGTTATGTATCAGTGCATCCAACGCCGCCAAGTACCACCACAGACTGTCAGGAGTGCATACAGGCACATGAGGGCCATACACACTATTGAGTCATATTATAAGTTGCCAATGACAAAATTCACACAAGTTGGATCAGGCTGGGATTTTAATTTTTACTTTGATTTTCGGTGTGATTTTGAATTAAGCCCTCGATGGGTTACTGATTTTGGTTTCCACTGACCATTATTATTATTAGTAATACTATTATTATTATAATAATTATTATTAGGTCATTTTGTTCTCAACATATTATACAATGTACATCAGTTAAAGGCGCTGTATGTAAGAATGTGGCCAAAATGGTTACTGCACTCAAATTCAAAATACTGCCGCAAGTCGTGTCTGCCCCCCCCCCCCTCCCCTACAGATTCGAGGTTGCTGGAGACTGATTTGTTTGCCCACGGGCGGCTGCCGTGGCAGGGCCGTGTCGCCGCGTCCTTGATCTTCGGTTTTCCAGCGGACCGTTCGAGCAAGTCCGGCTTCTTTGCTGCTAACGCTGCTGCCGGGATACAGCTGAGGAGAAGCCGGCTGCTAATGCTATGTACCGGGACACTGCTAATGCTGCTGCTGGGATACAGCTGAGGAGACTGCTAATGCTATGTACCGGGACACTGCTAACGATGCTGCCGGGATACAGTTGAGGAGGAGCCGGCTGCTAATGTTATGTAACGGGACACTGCTAACACTGCTGCCGGGATACAGCTGAGGAGCCGGCTGCTAATGCTATGTACTGGGACAATGCTAATGCTGCTTGCCGTGCTGCTGTAGTCGTAGTCGTAACTGTAACTGATGCTGAGACTCTACTCTGACTGCGTGACTGGTAGACGGCGGTGGGTGGCGCAACAGGCCAAAACACAAATTCAAAACATAAACATGATTTGCAGACTGCAAAAAAATTTTTTAGATGCAAATATTCTGGCTGTACTATTGTTGTCGGTGAGATCAGTATATTATATGAACATTATTCCTTAGTCTCTGTGACATATTAGGAGGATTTTATATCTATTTGCTTTAGATTTCTTACATATAGCTCCTTTAAGATTTTCAACTTGAATAATTCGTTCATAAAGATCTGATGTGTGATTTAAGTGTTTCCTTAATTTTTTTTTAACAGTGTTTATCTGGTCATGGCATGTTGGCCTAAAAGTCACGGCTGTGGAAGACGTCTGATGGGATGGTGTACTCCACAAAAAAAGCCAATCCCTCACATCATGTTGATTTAAAAAAAAGCAAATGTTATAAAGGACCGTCCACACTGAGAACATTACCATTAGCTATAACGATAACGCATGCACATTGATTAATGATATTGTGTAAACACTGGCGCCAAGAAAGGGCTGCACAGCTGTGACTGCCTGTAAATTAATTTGGATTTTGATTGGCTGTCTGTGGTCCTGTCCTTCATCATATCACTTTGAAAGGGATCCCACCAATATTGTTTGTCTGTTGTTGTAGTTTAAGTTGTGGTGTTTGTTCAGCCATCCAGTTCAGTTAGGACAATCTTTTAAATGGTGTTTTTGTAGTTATAGTTGTAGGTATTATTCTTGGTGTAGACGGCCCTTGAAGGTGCGAGCACAAACTGTGTAAGCTGAGCCTGCCATCCACGTTCTCCAGCCTTTGCCAGCTTTGTCTTGAAACCTCCAGGGAAAACCCAGAGACAACAGCCTTCTTACCTGATATTTCCTAGGTGTATAGATGTTATCGTGGATAGCCTCCTGCTGCCATGGCAGGCCAAAGAAAGGCCCCATGGGTGAAGTGGCAGGGGTGACAAGCTGTAGGCCTGCCATGCTTCAAAGAGATGGAGGTGAGGGGGCTGGGCTCCTCCGGTTGTCCACTTTATCTCATATCATCATCCTCTTCTTTTCACAAATTCACTGGCAGGGGAGATGAGAGTGCTATGTTAATGTGCTGTAGACAGTAGTTACAGCAGTCTACACACACACAGTCTCCATCATCTTTGACAAAGACCTTCTGTCACAGTTAACTGACTAGACACAGTGCCTAGAACAATGTTTAGAGATTTATTAGAGCTTGAGAACCACTTGTCTGGAGCCTCTTTAGAATGTGAGAACACCTTGCTTTGAGCTTTCTTGCAGCCTAAACATCTGGTTGAGATATCGAAAATAGCTTGTTTAGAGATTGAAAATAGCTTGTTTCAAGCTTGAGACCAAAAGTGCTAAAAGATAAGATTACTTAAACTACGTTCACATTACAGGGCTTAATGCTCATTAATTATTTCCCCAGATCTGATCTTTTTTTGCCAAGATTGTTCACATTCATGTTTGAAGTAGGGGTGGGCGATATGGCCCTAGAATATCAGTATAATATTTCAAGGTATTTTTGCGATAACGATATTCTTAATGATATGACAAATTAGAAAAAAAGTAACTGAAGAACCCAGAATTGCAACAAAATAAGTGATACAAGTGATACAGTTTTACATGTCAACCTAACAGTCTGCTTTCAAATATTTAGTAAAAACTAAAGAAAAACGATCTCTCATTTCATTTGTAAACAACAGTTATTTAGAGTGAGATTCAGAATATTAATAGTACAACAAAATAAAATCTACCACAAATTACACATTTTAACAGCTCCCAAATACAAAACATTTACCCTGGGATATAT